TATTTATAAAATTTGCAGGGAGTCTATACAGTGCATAAAAACATTTGCAGAGATCTACTGTAGCGATAGACTATATATCAAATATAATCTGAAATACTGTGAACCCCAGAACCGAACAGAAACCGATCATTCTCCTTCGTGGTTCAAGAACATACCGACATATAGAGTAGTTTGTTTGGTAAATTTTCACAGTTGCAAGAGGTTCAAATCTTTCACAGAAGAATGGAAACCACGAATTTGACTTTGCTTGGATTGCTTTACCTGGTATCCTTAATAGAGTCAATTCAGTATTGCGACAAGAATTGTTCACTGCTGGCGACAAAGGTATATATAACAAAGATTCTTTGTTACTCTTTCTCTCGTTGACTTCATTATAATATTATTTTCCTTCTAAAAAATTTCATATAATCATACCATAATACGAATTATGTGTGGAGTAAATTGCATTTTGGCGAGTTTAATAGTTCCACATTCATATTAGGATGTAATATATGAACAACGAGAGCGAGTGTTTCACCGGGATATCCAAACACGAGAAAACAATGTATGAGAACACGAGCGCGAAGCGCGAGTGTTTTCATACATTGTTTTCGAGTGTTTCGATATCCCGGTGAGACACGAGCTCGAGTTGTTTATATGGCTTCTCAAATGAATCGAGACGTAACAGAATGTTTTCGTTTGCTGATTTGAATAGAATTCTTAACCAAGCATAACGTAATTAGGAATTCTATTCAAGTAATTTTGCATGCGTAATTAAGATATTTGATGAAAACACTAGTGAGTTTCATCAAGTATCCAAATGGCATCTTGTGATCAAATAGGTGTTTATCATTGGCTGAATTACTCATGAATTATTAATGAATTTGAGAAATATATTTTCTCACATCTTGTAGCTGTAAACTCTCGGAACTAATTAGATATTAATTTTCTTAACTTCGATTCTTTCGATTTGAAATGCGAACTGAATAGTTTTGCCCTGAGTATCACCAAATGAGAGAACAAAAGATTGATTTATTCTGAAAAACGTTGAGATAGTTTCCCTACAATAACCATTACTTGATTTTTCAGCATTCAAATTTAACTGTTTGTTGTAGTTATAACAGTACTCTTGTAAAGATTATAGCATGCCAGGATGAAAAGAATGGAAGATTATAAATATTTATTTATCGGTGCCGTGTAAGGCTTGATTTAGACTGTCGTTTTCGTTGGTCTACTGCAGTGACTAAAACGCGTATTAGTTAATTTAAATCATCAGTGCCTATCGCTGATCAATGCCATAAGAGCAACTGACAAACTCAAGGTATTCATCTCACGAGTCTCATGCATTCTTGACTAGATAATGCAAAACTCTGTACATCTATAAATGGGAACTCGAAAGACGAAATGTTCCTGAAACATGCTTCAGGTCCGTCGAACTCTATTGCAAGGTAACCGAGATTTGTGCAGACCATCGGTAACTAAAATGACTTACCCAACTATTCGGCAAATAGTCTATAGACTAAGATTACAATTTACAACTTTTACTTTCCATTATATCTCCGTCGTAATTTAAACCATTCAGTTTGTCCGATATAGGCAAATAGGATAACGTCATTGGAAGGGTGAAAATTGCTAAAAATCCTGGAATTCAAAAACAGATTAAGTATTTTCTATCTATTTTCTTTTACGCCCGCAGTTGATTATTCAAAATACTAAATAGATTAAAAACCACAACACCTCCATTACTTATGCGCTACTAGTATTCCTTCAAAATAACTAGTTGGGATTCGAGAACTAAATAAGTGAATTTCCAAAGTTATGAATTTCCCAGAATATGCCAACGGATGATATCTTCTTTAGGTTCAAAATTTGGAAACGCAAGTTCAAATTTTCTCCAGCCTTCTGCAAATTCAATCTACTATAATAGCAAAGTACATCGTTCAACGTGAGTTAGCGACTGGCACGACATCGATATCCTCAGACAACAGTGTCAAAATAACAAAACAAGCCAACGAGATCAAGGAACTTCAAAGAGACGTTGCTGCTTTAAAATACGCAATGGAAACTCAACAGATGATCAGAGTGCTCAATGATAATTTTGAGAAATTAATTAGTAAGTTGTTAACTTTCGTACTATTTAAATTATTTCCCACAGTTGCCATGTTTTCATTTTATCAGTCATGTGAATGGTAAATATTGTTGAAGCATATATCACATGTCAAAATACGCTTTATTGTATCTGTATATTATATCTCATACGTCATACCGTAAATTTCCCAGGTGTGTTTAAGCAAATCAATAAGCCCCTGCCCTACTTTTTCATTACTAACATTGATATTCAAAAGAGTCAAAACAACCCCTGCAAATTTGACTCCAGAACCACTCTTTTGTTGTCATTCTGACTCTAACGTTTGAATTTGCGGTGCAATTAGCCTCCACTGAATGACGAAGTATAAGTATTCTGACATGACTGCCCCATTTTTTTCAGAGGCTATTTCCAGTACTGTTCGTATTGGTACAGTAGACGTATTACTAACAAAAATTAACCAAAAACTCAGTGCCTTGGATAGAAAATATAAAACTCAAGATTCTCAAATCAAGCGACTTGAATCCGCGATCGCATCAGGTAAGTTAATATCGTTTTTCAGTTTTAAAGCTTTTTTTCTGAAGAACCAGCTCAAATGTCAACGGTTGGGTTGAAAAGACTCTCTTCTTTCCACCAATACGGTCCTGTTCTGGGGCCGGTTGTACGAAGGCCGGATAGTGCTATACACCGGGTAGTAATTTTTCCACCGTTGTAAAATTACGGATATGAACCTTGCAATTAATAAAAAGAAACTTCAATTTTTAAATACTAAACTTTAACCGGCATCTAATGATTAGGGTTACTATCTTCTTTTAGACAACTTGTCGAAAGTAACGAACCAATTACGTCCTACAAGGATTAAACTTTCAGCACATGATCAAGTCTGCGAATCTTAGACCCCATGCAGTTAAACGATACTGGATTCGCATCGGACCGAGTAGAGCGACATCAACTAAGACGCTTTACGGCTTCTGAAAACTTTTCATGTTCGAACTTTCTGACTAATTCTGTTATATTATCATAATTTGAGTGCTAAACTCCCCTTGAAACTGTAAATTTGCTTCGACTCGAATCCCTGGTATCGTGTATAACTGGGGCCTTAAATGAATGTTCTATTTACAACACCTTTTTCAATAGGCACGTGGGCATCTGGAAAATACTGTATTCTGGCCAGCGGTTCTTGCCCAGAAGGATTTACTCGAATTACTACGTGGATGAAAGCGATAAAAGTGTTCCGTGGATCAAGGCGTTTCCTTCAACAAGCAAATTTTGGAGACAGTAATATCCGATGTCACGGACCTTGCGCGCGCAGTGATCAGTGGCTGGGTCAACTTACTATTGTAGCTTGTTGCAAATAAAAACGACTGTCTCTAGTTCATATGATTGGACAGTATACACGATTTCCCCGCGTAATTATAGAAAATAGAGAGGTTAAGATTGACGTTTGCGGCAGAGCAGTAACCGCAAACTTCAAGTCGTATTTTGAGGTCAACTGTTAACTGTTCGAAGTTAGGACAATTTCTACACTAAAATTGAAGCATGGAATTAGCTAAAAACTTGTAGAAACTTTCCAAAACTTTCAGAACTTGCCTTTTACGGTTAGCAACGTCAATCTTCACCTCTCAATTGATTGTCCATAGTTAATGCTCGGGATAGAAAATAAATATTGTTTGGAAATTTGTACTTTATTCGTTCACGACAACCAACTTTACATATATATGTTTTGCTCGCTATACTTTGGACTTAGCTGCAGCAATTCATGCACTCACGACCAAACGTCCACAATCCGGTGTAGTGTCTAGTCAAGAATGATCCAGGTCGCGACGCAGCTCTCATATACAGCCATACAAGGTGTCCCGCAAAAAAAACTAAACAACTGAAATTAAAGGGGCAGTGTGATCAAAATTTTTATTTTCTTAAAAAACTCATTAATAATTCAGGAGCTAAACACAAAGAAAAATCATAAGCGTGTCGTGGTTATATATGTGATATAAAATCATGTTAATTTACATAAACTTTAGCTTTGATTTTCTCGGTTTAGACAAAGTTTATTTTAAAAATTACTTCGCCAATGAACTCGTATAAGCTGAGTCGTTTTTTAAGCCATTTAAAGCACTTGTAGTCGTGTTTTATCACATATAAAACACTCCGCTACGCGTCGTGTTTTATATGTGATAAAACACTCCTACGCGTGCTTTAAATAGTACTTAAACGAAAGTGCCCGTAAAACTTTATAATAACTTGTTTTGAAGATTTTTGTTCCCATCCTTAGTTCTTGAGATATTTTATTTTGTTTGTAATTATGTACGTCATCTACTCAATTACATATATAATGAGATATCAGTAATTGTTGTGTATCTAAGCTATTTTTATCAAAATATTTCGAAAGATGCGGCGCGTTTGTTAATTTAACCTGCATCATTACGCATATACTGTGTTTTTTAACAAATCGATCAAAAATAGCAAAGATACACAACAATTACTGATATCTCATTATATATGTAATTGAGTAGATGACGTCACATGGTTACAAACAAAAGAAATATCTCAAGAACTAAGCGTGGGAACAAAAATTATTATACAGTTTTACGAGCATTTTCGTTTAAGCTTGGTCTAAGAAAATAAAAATTTTGATCATACTGCCCCTTTAAACGTATTGTTAGAATTTGAATGCCTCGGCACTCAGCTAAACCCACAAGCGCATAAAAGCTTGACATAAGTAAATACTAAAGTAGAGCGAGTGTTTCAACGGGATATCCAAACACGAGAAAACAAAGTATGAAAACATTGTTTTCGAGTGTTTGGATATCCCGGTGAGACACGAGCTCGAGTTGTTTATATGGCTTCTCAAATGAATCGAGACGTAACAGAATGTTTTCGTTTGCTGATTTGAATAGAATTCTTAACCAAGCATAACGTAATTAGGAATTCTATTCAAGTAATTTTGCATGCGTAATTAAGATATTTGATGAAAACACTAGTGACTTTCATCAAGTTTCACAGGGTTATCCAAATGACATCTTGTGATCAAATAGGTGATTATCATTGGCTGAATTGCTCATGAATTATTAATGAATTTGAGAAGTATAAAGAAATTGTTTAAGAAGCTGCTTTAAATTCCCATGCCAAGAGCAGAAAATCGTGCGTTTAACAAAGATATTTTATAAAATAACATGTATATAACGCGTATTCTGATTGGTCGAAAGCCGTGTTTGGATCAGGCCATCCAAACACGGAAGACTACCGTGTTGTTGTTATTTTATAAAACAATTACTTTATGGTTTCCGTGTTTGGATGGACTGATCCAAACACTTGGGAATGTTGCTCGAGTTAAGAAAAGCGGGCAAAATCACTCACCTTCGGCTCGTGATTTCGCTCGCTTTTCTTAACTCTCGCAACATTCCCGCGTGTTTGGATCAGGCCATCCAAACACGGAAACCATAAAGTAATTGTATATTAATTTCTTAATAAATCAAATTAATTATTAATAAATGCACCCTGCTAATATTGTACGCATCTTTGCGTTCAACTTAGTTCTATAGGGCATTCAAATTCTATAGTTTTGGGTTTCTTGGGACACTGCATCCAACGGAGAGCTCGCGCATGCGCTCACAAGGTATTACATTGCAATGCACTGCATTAAATTCCGTTGCAATGTATTGTAATGCTTATTAAAAACCTTGGCATAATGGGGGGAAAATACTTGAAACTTCACTCATACAATACTTTTTCGGCCTAAATGTGGCGCATTTTCCCGCGCGTAATACAAATTAATGCAAAATTTTCAAATTTCGCAGGGCTATATTTTCCGCATTTTACAACATTTCGCGGCCAAACTCTGCAATTTTACTAATTTCTAGCTGTGGTGATGGAATTTGTTCTTCTTGCCTAGATGAAAATTTAGTCTATAGCTAGAACCAGCGGTGCCCTGCAAAAAAAATTTCTGGCGTTTCGCCTACTAGTAAACTTATATAAAATAATACGCTAGATGGGGCCCCTAGATTTCTCCTGTTGGCTAATACATGAAGTTTCTAGTGAGGGAAAAGTGACCGCGCGAGGTCTGCGAGGGCCCACCATGGAATTTTTATCGAATTTCTAAAGCTTTTTCATGTGACGTCTAATGTTACGCTTACATTTGTTTTGGACTTTGGCCACTGTCAGTTCCATATTTTTTATAAAGTTTTGGTTTCTTAGTGTGATTAATCTGTGTATATAGTCTATATAATGTGGTAAATGCACCTAGCAGATATGACTTGACAGACTTGATATGAAATCGCACATGTTTAATATCTGTCACCTCTGATTGCCCTTTAACCCCTGGTCTTTGCTACTTCAATCTTTGCTACTTCAATATATATTGCTTCTTGTCCTTCTTTTCAGTTCCATTCACAGCTCACTAGTCGCTGCGAGTAATCACTGTGCTTGATATAATTTGTGCTCTTTACTGTGGTTCTATTTGCTTTTAATGCCCGCAGCAATCCCTACCTTTGCAGGTACCCTAGTTTAATATTTAGCACGCTACATTCTCCTGTCGGCCGCCAGTTGGTCCGTACGTTAGGGTCGAAACTGCGTTTTAAAGCCCTCAAAATATAATATTTTGGGCTCAAAATACTATCAAAATGAAGAGAAAAGTGAGACGAATCCACTCGCATACGGCCGAAAACGAGAAAACCCAACAATTCCGAAGTTATCAAGGATCAAACGGACTGCATTTTTAATTAGTTTAGTAATTTTGAGCGATTTGTAAACAATACAATTTCGCTTATTAAAACTGCACATTAAAAGCTTCAAAATATAATATTTTGGGCTCAAACTACTAACAAAATAAAGAGAAAAGTGAGACGAATCCACTGGTATACGGCCGAAAAAGAGAAAACCAACAATACGAAAGTTATCAAGGTCAAATGTATTGCACTTTTAATTGTGTTTAATAATTTTGAGCGATTTGTGAACAATACAATTTCGCTTGTCTTTCAAAGGCCATAAATCGCTAGAATACTGTAGTTTAGTAATACATTTGACATATGTGAGTATAATTTCTTACACTGAATCGAACGGTGGTATTTTTGTCCTTATTGGGCGCATAAAACCAGAGATCAGACGCAGCAAAAAGTCAATCGTGAGAGTTCGAGTTGTAATTCGAAAGAAAACTTTCCTCGAAAAAAGGAATTCGGAAAACGTGAAGGATTATTTTGAGCGGCTTTTGTCTTTCAAAGGCGACAAATAGCTAGAATAGAAGTCAATTTTGAAATCAATTTTCCATCCGTAAACACAACTTTTCACGCTGATTCGAACAGTGGTATTTTTGTCCTTGTTTGATGCATAAAACCAGAGATAAAGCTGAGCAAACAGTCGATCATCATGAGAGTACACGATTAATAATAATTAATAAAATTCCGAGCACGTGCAAGGAATTTTTGGTACGCGATTAAGGAAACGTATTGATGCGAACAAACTAACAAACAAACGGACAAACCGACAAACTAACAAACTCACAGGCAGAATATAATGCGGTGCCAAAAATGGCACGGGCACCGCAATATAATGCGGTGCCAAAAATGGCACGGGCACCGCAATTAATGCAGTAATCCTTTGATATCTCTCACACACACATAAATATTACTGTTTTAGTCGCCAAATTTGAATCTCGAGGTTAAGTTAGACGATCTATCTTTCTGTGCTGTAAACTCGTTCCTAAAAATCAAAATTGAAATTTAATGAATATATATAGCGATTGGTGTAAGCAATTAGCTGCTGGAATTTTAAATATTGAACGATCGCTTGTCAATGAATGCATGACTGCATTGATACATTTTACAATATAATCGCAGGGCCGTAGGTTCAATTTCTACCAGAGGTTCAATATCTACCAATTTCTACCATATATCGAAAGCCT